CAGATAAAAATAAGTAAAAAAGTTTGTATAAATGGGTGTAGAAGTTTCATTTTTATTTCGATTTTTTCCAAATAATTTCTGAAATCCCGTCAATATTTGGATGAAAATTGGTATCTGGGGGTTTTTTGATATGAAAAATTTTATTTTGATGTCAATATGACTCCTATTTGTAGGGGGAGCCACCTACATGTGTTTTAACTGTTTGTAAGAAGTAATAACTTTTTGTCCGTACCTGTACAAAACTACTGGGTGGAAAAATGTACATTTTCCTGACTTTTTACCTAAAAAATGTCTCTTGATAAAAATCGCTACGAGCAACCGTTCTCAAGATATTTAGAATGGAATTAGTCAATATATGTCATTATTGACAAAAAAATAAACACGTTGAGTAGATAGTTATTTGACTAAAATAATAAATTTGGAAAATTTTTATTTTTTTAAGTTAATCATAATTTTTTCTACGAAAAAATGACGATAAAACAGTTTCTGTTGAACTTTTGGCACAAAAACATTTCAAATTTATGATTTCAGTTTAATAACTGTTGTCAACATGTTTGATTTATGTCAATGATGATAGGTCTGGATAATTTCGATTCCAAATATCTCGAGAACCATTCCTTGTAGCGATTTTTTTCAAGAGATCTTTTTTACGTAAAAAAGTCGTAAATGTATATTTTTTTACTCAGTAGTTTTATACAGGTACGAACGAAAAGTTATTATAGTCTAACCAGTTAAAAAATATATAGGTGGCGCCCTCTACAAGTAGGAGTCATATTGACATCAAAATCAAATTTCTCATGTCAAAAAACTCCCAGACACCAATTTTCATCCAAATATTGAAGTCACTTCAGAAATTATTTGGAAAAAATAAAAATGAAACTTCAACACCCTGTATCTCCGCAACTAAGCATTTTAGGGCATATATTTATACGAACTTTTTTATTTATTTTTATCTGCAGAATATATAGCCGAAGTTTCCGGAATACAGTTCGTACCACTCCCTGTATATGCACTTGTTCTGAAAGTATTGCAAACAGAAACCAATTTGTCAGTGGTATTTTACTAATAAAAAAAATTAGCGTAAGCGACAAACAATCTTAACATTTCAGGAGGTATACCTCCTCCTACTGTAAGAAGTAAAAAAAAACACAAAGAATAGAGAAAAAAAATGTGTGGGCATATTTGTAGTGAAACTTCTTACTAACAGCTATTGAATTGAAGAATTTGAAGGACATGTTTGAGAAAGTGTAGTTTGAAATGTTGAAAAATTAATAAATAATTTGATTCACTTTAGTGTGTCACCATATGTGTCACGGCTTTGAATTTTTATCCCCAACGCGCGTAAAGAAGTTTTACTTCAAAAAGTAAAATAACTAATTAAAATATCTAAATACAACTATTCGAAGAACACTTTTGTTTTTGAAGTGAAACTTCTTTACGCGCGCTGGAAGTAAAAATTCAAAGCCGTGATACGACACGCGAACCAACGAGAGGTCACAACAAAGCGAGAGGAAAAGTTGTAAGGACAGCCTACGGTTTAGAAAAATCTTTCGGTTTAAATGCAATTTGGTATGTCGATAGATTGGACCAAGCACTGGGATTCTGTAAGCTCCGTAACAAGAAATTTCCTGTCTAGCCTATGCTATTTTAGAGGTGTGTAGTTCGTGAACGAACTAGTTCCAATGAACTATTCCGACTCCGGAATGAAAGGAACTAGTTCCTGGTTTCTCAAAAACTAGTTCCTCAGGACCTGTTCCGGGATCGAAACTGTGACCGATATAGAATAATATGCGACGGCGACGCACAGTGCATCGTCCCATGTACAAAAATCAAAAAATAAGTTAAAATTTACTAATATCTGAATATATAATTTTATACTTATAGCAATGTTCAACCATCCTGTATATTATTTTTCATAAACAGCGTTTTTGTTAGCAAATATTTTCACTAAAAATAAATTTTGCGATCATTATCTCATCAGTGAAAAGAATAACATTCATAGGATGCGGACCTAAAGAAACTGGAGGAACTAAATAAAAGACTAGTTTACGTATGGATCAGCCAGCGCGATTGATGCTAGCCTCCGCTAAAGTTGTGTTTAAAAAATTTGATATTTAAGAGTTTTGAGCATGCGGATTTGAATATCAATATTAGCGCTGTTGTCAGACTTCCCAGTTTGCCGCTACACATAGCAACTTTAATAAAACTTATAAATTCAAGATAACATTCGCCTACTAGAGTGTTATTTCTTTTTTTTTAAGAACAGACATTTTGATAATATATCGCAGCATCTCTAATTGGTAAAAGGTGTCACCAAAAATCGTGTCTCAACGCCTGCCGAATGATCTTTTTTGTACAGAAATTTGCTGTACCTCAGCTACGCCTATAATCACATCTAAAGTGGCATAATGCGTACACCTAGAAAACATAATTGAGAAACATATTGAGGAAAACTGTTTAATAATAAATATTGGGATTCGGCCAAAAAGATCAGTTTAAGGCCTTGGTATATGCACAAATAACTATCCTCAATAGCTAAGTTTTTAACACTAATTAGGATACCATAAGTTTTAGATTCAAGTGCATCAAAAATGAGGTAGACCTGCGTTATAAAAATAATATTTCTTAAAGTTGCAGCTAGTTGCAGCTAATTTTCATTTAGTAAGTTACTGTAAGGTAAAATCTTTATATCATAGATGATGCCGTGAATTACATCTGGTTACATTTTTTTATAGTCGAAAAAATTTTTTTTTACTTTTCTTGCAGTAATAAAGTTAAATAAACACTTCATCACTGAGATACATTCTTTCTTGACTGTTCATTGTTTAATTGTATCCTAAGAAGTCATTTTACTATCCACTTTACAGAAAATAGATATTCATTTTCGTTTCTATTTTTAAATCACAACCAAAGTTCATGTAAAATCGGCCTTGTTTAAACGTTTTTTTATTTTCTACCAAAATCGTTGTCCCGCTTTCAACGTGGTAGTAGCAAAAAGCGTATTATAATGTTTTACTAGAAGATCAGTATGTCTTAAAACAAAAAGTGTTGTAAAACGCTAGAAATTTCGAACTTTTTAAAACAGCCAATGTCCACTCTTTAGCATTGAGTCGTTCCAGTGTGAACCGGCGCGGCGTAATTACCACAGAAAATTGTCGTGGATACTGTTTTTGATTTTTACTTTGTTTTTTAAATATTTTATGGGAATGTTTCATTTTAGGTCCCTAAAATTAAGAAATATCTTATAAAACGAAGTAGATATTCTGAATTTTTGGATAAAAACAAAAAGCTTGTAGTGAGGAAAAATACATTTTTTCGTAAATTTTTCGTATTATTTCCTCCAATTGATTTGTGATATAGTTTTTAAATTCTGATTTGAGTTTCTTTAATTTTTTTATCTGCTATAAAACTTACCTATATGTTTTTAACATATGCAATTACACGTCTCCTTATATTTCGTACATTATAAAAATTATAATGATCTGTATAATTTTGAATAGTAAACTGGGGGTGAATAGTTCTGACTGAAAACGAAATCCATTAGCAAGCAACGGTGATGTCAATGTCAGTCGGGAACTATTGTGACCTAAGGACCTAGTTCAAGGAACTATTCCTCTGGAGGAACTAGAACTAAGGAACTAGAATTACCACCTCTATGCTATTTGTATACAATTGATGAGTCACTAGACAGAAAATATGTTTACAGAATCGCTAGCAAGGCCAACTTGACCGTGTACAGTGCCCTACTCCCGCGACAATTTCTTGTCAATCTGCAGGGTACAATTTGCTGGCACCCTGCAGATTGCTTTGTGTGTAGAGTAATTGTGACAATAATAAGGGACAATTTGCAAATTGGCGATTGGCTCGGCTGGCCAAACAATTTTATTTCCGATTCCTGCAAGTTGGGACGTGTGTAGAGCGCGCAAGGCAATTCCACAAAAACCGATTGGCGCGGCGCGGTGTATCGTTTCGTTTTAAGTATTAGTAGCACCTCTTTTAAAGTGAACAAGATGTTGGCCCTAGAGAAAGAAATGGACGCAAATTATTGACCTTTATAAGGACATGCCTTTCCTTTGGGATAAGCAAGATGCCCTTTCCTTTGCCTTAAACAGTTTTTGATCCACCACCTTCTTTTATTATGACTTGGAATTACAGACATTGCTAATTGCATCGTATGGAGAAGAGCGCCATTTTGATACGACACACAGTCTCTTGAGTCCTGCTAATTGTTCTCTCTGATTGAAATAAAAATTGCCGCCATGATTGCCGCGTGAGTAGGGCACATATGACATGTGTCACTATGACAATTAGTTTTGACGTAAGAACCGTCAAAAGTTGATGTCGTCCGATCGCGACCAAATTTGGTGGATAGGCTATGTGTGCACACGGTCCCACCCTGCAAGGTTGGATACGTTTCGTTTACACCTTCATCAGGGTGGAATTGATATTGAAGAAAAATGTGGGTCGATTTCGGCATAATTGGAGACGGGCTACAGGATGACGTCCTCGACGTTTCGCACCGATCGATGCCTCTAAATGGAGGAAATCCTTAGGATGTTTCTTAATTATGGGTCGATTGGGACCAAACTCGGCACATGGATAGAGGTACCCGAGTGGAGTCCTCAGACGGACATTTTAATACAAATTTTGTGAAAGTGAATCAAATTATTTATCAATTTTTAATTTATTACATTTCAAACTACACTTTTTCAAACATGTCCTTCAATCCTTTGATTTAATAGCTGTTAGTAAGAAATTTCAGTTCAAATATGCGCACATGGTGCACACACAATTTTTCTTTACTTTTTAACCATGGACTATAGTATCTGTAAGACCTTTTAGACTAAATTATGTAATTGATAAGAATTAAACAAAAAATATTTTAGCCAGTACCTTTTTGTACTGTAATGATTTAATATGTATAATACAATTTATAAAGTAAAGCTATGTTAGCAATTTATTTTTTTATTAAAAAACAAACTTTTTTATTATTTTTACAGTTAGTCATTGGCAACATGCTTCAAACAAGAAGAACAAGGGTTGTTTTTGTCACCCCCGAAAATAACTATGAGTTGGTACTATCTCAGCAGCAAGTACATAATGGAATGGAAATAGAGGAAATAATAGTATCAAACGTTGTGGCTAATCACAATGATTACATAAAAATCCAGAAATATTAATAAGTAATTTCTCATATTGATGGTAAATGTCTAGGAAATAATTTTATCAGGGTAATCCTTAAATGTCTTTAAAAATTAATGGTAAAGATGTATTACATGTGTAATATGTGTAATGGTGAAGGTAAGATCGAATATTTAGTGTGGACTATAGTTATTGAGTAGTAGTACATACTGGTAGCAAAAAACGCCTAAATCTGTTAAGGCACACATATCTAAAAATGGGATCATGTGCTATTCCTAAGACTGCAACATTTAAGACAGATTAGAACAAAATAAAATTTTATTCTTTGAAATTTTTAAGGTGCCAAAATTTCAGTCAGACTCCTGAAGAGTATTAAAATAGGACATATTGGTTTATTATACCCTTTTACGTGTTTCCACTTAGTTTTTTAAAACACTTTTCCTAGTAAATAACACTGGTAGTTTACAATCTCTTTAAAAAAGACCTCTGAGTTTTTTGCCGCTACAAGAAAATCTACAAAATAAAATTGTTATTTTTTTGTAAACACGAATGCGTTGATCCAACGAAGACCAATTTGTTAGCGGTATTTTACTAATAAGACAAATTTGCTTAGCAGACCAAAAATGCTTAATGTTTCAGGAGGTAGGTATATCTCCTCCTGTCGTCGGAAGCAAAAAAAAATACAAAGAACAAAAAAACTATTTAAAATATCTAAATAAAAGTATTCAAAAACACTTTGACGTTGACTTTGAACACTCTGACTTGAACACTAGAATACTAGAACCGTTGACGTTCTGTTTAAATGTTTCTAGCTTAGAATTGTTTGAATATTATGCTTGAATTACTTTTTCCGTGTACAGAAACGACTGCTAATGGATATTTGCAAATCAAATGTGTCAATACATTGAACTACAACACACTACATTTTGCGTTGTTTTACTTTTAAAAAAATATTGTATTTGGACTTATACAGGGTGGCGCACCTCATTCGCCTCTGTTGATTATACGAAAACGGAAAGATGTACAAACATAATTTTTTATGGGTATGTGTAGACAGGCAATATGCATAATTTAAAATTATTTTCAAATGTACAGGGCGTGTCAGAACTAAGGTCTATACCAAAGTTATATTTTTCTTATGGAACACCCGGTATTTTATTTCATTTTTGGATTCTTGGGCATAAAATAAGGCATTTATTATAGGGGTTTAATATGTTTAAATGCTTTGGTTTTTGAGATATTTAAAGATATTTAAATATGCATGCTATACTAAAAAAGTTTGTAAACACCCTGTACATTACTTTTCAGAGTTAATTCTAGTGCTGACTTTGAAGCCAAGGAAATAAACTTTACTAAAAAATGTATTACTTCCTCAAATGTATACAGGGGTATCAAAAATTGCTGGTCTATTTTAAATATTTATTTTACATAAAAACTTTGTTATTTCAAATACAACACCCTGTATTTTTTTAAATATATCGAAGCAGATTTAAATGCTCTTTTAAACTGTATTAGGGTTTCCTATACCTATGTGGCTCAGATTTTGAATAAAAAGCGATTTTTCAATAAAATTCTAATCAAGATGGCTGATGTCGCCATGATAATTTTCTAGTGACACTTACTAGCTATTTTCAAAATCGACATTAGTTTATGGATTTTATTTAAATTTATAACAGTTTACTTTTATTTAATTTTTCTACAATAGTTTAATAAGGAAGTATTCATTACTTTATCAAGAAAAATAAAGAAGTAGTTCTTTTTTATTTATATTACGTTGACTTGTAGAAATATTGGATTTTCTATAAAAGAACCAATTAAGGCAAATTCATTTTCTTCACTTCCAACGACAGGTTTCTGCCTAATAGGTCTTTCGTATAACACACTATCAGCTCTGCGAAATAGGAAAAGTTGTTTTTCAAAGGTACGCTTGCCAAGAAAATTCCTATTTGGATATCTTTGAGCATAAACCCTTCAGGCTAATCTCCCCCCTCCCAAACAATTGTCCTCTCAAAATAAAATCACTAGTAACACATCCATTCCTTCGACCAGCAGATACTGCTTCATTTTTCTTGATAAAATAATAAATACTTACTTATTAACCTTATTGTAGATAAATTAAATGAAAATAAACTGTTATAAATTTAAATAAAGTCCATAAACTAATGTCGATTTTGAAAATACTACTACTAGTGTCACTAGAAAATTGCCATTGCGACACCAGCCATCTTGATTACAATTTTATTGAAAAATCGTTTTTTATTCAAAATCTGAGCCACGTAGGTATAGGAAACCCTAATACAGTTTGAAAGAGCATTTAAATCTGCTTCGACTTAAAAAAGTACAGGGTGTTGTATTTGAAATAACGAAGTTTTTATGTAAAATAAATATTTAAAATAGACCAGCAATTTTTGATACCCCTGTATACATTTAAGGAAGCAATCAAGTTTTTTAGTATCAAGTTAGTTTATTTCTCTGGCTTGAAAGTCAGCACAAGAATTAATTCGTAAAAGTAATGTACGAGGTGTTGACAAACTTTTTTATTATCATGCATATTTAAATATCTTTAAATATCTCAAAAACCAAAGCATTTAAACATATTAAACCCTTATAATAAATGCCTTATTTTATGCCCAAAAATCCAAAAATGAAATAAAATACCGGGTGTTCCATAACAAAAAACATAACTTTGGTGTGGATCTTAGTTCTGACACACCCTGTACATTTCAAAATAATTTTAAATTATGCACATTGCCTTCCCACATGTACCCATAAAATATTTTGTTTCTACATCTTTCCGTTTTCGTATAATCAACCGAGGCGAATGAGGTGCGCCACCCTGTACATATTTTCAAAACACTTTCGTGATAAAAAAAATATTTTCATGTAGTGTGAACTTTCCAAATTTAATGAATGTGTTGAGTTTTTCTTTGCTATATTGTCTTGCAGAGTATTTTTATAACCTATTGACAATAAAATTAAAAGAGATCTACTAGGAGAGAAGTTAAACCGGGTGCGTCTCAAAAGTGGCTCACCCTTATTACTTTTTTATTCGCTCAGATAAAAAATCGAAATTTGGGATATTAATATATGACATAAATTAGGATTGATTGACGTATTGAATTGTTTTCTGTCACTTCCTGTTTTACCGGAAATGACTACAACTTTTGATTTCTAAATGGCACCCCCGGTATATTTCTACTTTATTCGATAGAAAATGACATGTGATTCTGAATAGAATGACATATCATATGTCAGCTTTTGACATTTTCGATTATGGTTATTTGAAATTTCAACATGCGATTCATAAATGGTACCAACTGGTACCAAATTATTCGCAAAAAAATGCTTTTTCGAAATATGCTAATGAGCCACACTCGTTCCATTTGAAAAAATTGAGATATGATTAAAAATACGATTTGGGTATCTTTTAACCGACCTGGCCAAGATACGAATAACATTAAACGAGCAAATATATTTTTCCAAGGCTCCTTGATCAAAAATTAGTGTTTTTAACACAGCCATGGCACTCTGGATTGAAATTTAAAATACAATTATTTTGTTTTAAGCAAAAATGTCAAAAATTGACGTATGATATGCCATTCTATTTAGAATGTCATTTTCTACCATATAAAGTAAAAAAATACCGAGGGTGCCATTTAAAAATCAAAAGTTGTAGTAATTTCCGGTGAAATAGGAAGTGACAGAAAACAATTGAATACGTCAATCAATCCTAATTTATGTCATATACTAACATACCAAATCTCGTTTTTTTATCTGATAAAATAAAAAAGCTATAGGGGTGTGCCACTTTTGAGACGCACCCGGTTACACATAGCTACAATCAAGAAAAAAATACATTTTTTCATTTTCAGTAGTAGATACTGGTAAAAATATATAAAAACTGTACTGACTTATGTAGAAACAAGCGATTTGTGAAAGCACTGTAACTTTTTTCTTTTGAAATTTATTTTCACTTTGGCAATGAGGCACACGAACTATTCAAATTAAAAATGCGCTTTTATTTCACTGTCGCAAATTAATATTTCTGATCAAACAATCTACAATTCTAAATTAATTTTTGTATACTTCCACTTAAATAACAATTAAACCTAGATGATTTATTGTGATTTAAGGAAATTATATCCCATCTTTTGTAATTTTGAATTGAAATTAGATTGAGTTCTGTGATAATAAAATTTTAATTTTGTTTTAATTTTTAACTGTGAGAAAACATCTGTAGTTATAAAATATAGAATTATTTTATATACAGGGTGAAAAGTGCGAAAACGATTGGGAAGTAATGGTAATACGAGACGTTTTTCACATATATTTTTTTTCGATTTGGACTTCCCTTGCAGTTATTTGCTTCTACAGGATAAACCAAAATCACACTATTATCATCTTTTTTCAAAAACAGTTTTTACTAAAAAAGTTACATTTGGCGCGTGGAAGATAAATAAATCAAGGCGCGATTTAGATCAAATGTCTATTTGGTATGTCATATACAGGGTACACTAGAAATATTTTACTATAATTTTTAATATAAATTTATATTATACTAGTTATATTTTACTATAAATTTAGATGTATTTTGCCATTTTACAAGGAAAAAGATAAAAATAAAGTTTTGGTGGCCCCAAAATTGATAAAGATTTATTTTGACACACATACAAACAAAAACAATTTCATTGGAACTACACACTTTGTCTAGTGAACGTGTTTGTCCAAATTGGGATTGAGATGTACCTATAGCTAGATTTTGGGTGACCCTGTATAATCCAAATAGTAACTTTGGAAAGAAAGGCCAAGGCGAAAAATTGTATTATCAAAAACACTTTAACTTTCAAAAATCCTTTCTGTTGAAACCTGTCGAATTTTTTCGCACTTATTCATTTACACTTTCTATAGTCTTAATTCACATTTTGTTGAGCGTTTATATCTCTTATAAAAAAATTTATATTATGTTGTAAGAGCTTAATTTTATCAAATAAGTATATGCTATAACTAAACAGGGTAAAATGACTTTACAATACAGGTATTAATGCTGATTGGTTTGTTTATGTTAAGAACTGTATGGATATGTTTATATATAATAGATACAAAAACTTCATCATGCTGAAGATTGTGTATTCGTTAAAACAACATTACCCCCAAAACTAAAAGTATTTCTAAAAACAGAATATTATTAGATATATGTTTATTGAACAGAATCATACACCGTATGATCGAAAAAAAAATGGCGTCAGCGATGGCTATGAAATGAATTCCCAGCCAACTGAACGCCGTTTTTTCGATCATACGGTATCTTTTATATTTTAATTGAGACCTTAATGTATTTTGCGCTTGTATAATTATACCTATAAGTTCACAATTATGGTAATGTACCAGCAGTTTTTTTTGCTAATAGCATATACAGGGTGTTTGAAAAAACATATGCCATCTCTCGTGAGGAGATTCCTCACGTAAAAATAAGATTTATTTTTCATATCAACATAGGTCCGATTCTGCTTTGTTTCGTAGCTACAGGGTGTTAAAGTCTAATAATTTTACGATTTATTAGTAATTTGTAATTTTCTTCCGAGTACTTTTAGTGATTCGAATGAAATTTTGAGGGTAAAAGTTACTATTAGTGCTGTATATTTTAGTGCTAAAAACGTGTCGATAAATTCATCTGGGACGTGCATATGGGTTATCAC